GCTCAAGCTGACAGATGCCAGAGATTGAAGTAGAAGTACCCTCGGTTCAGGCCTAAAATGCCTGCAAGAATTCCAGCCTGCCACCTTTGGGTTCTGTGGACACATTCTGCCTAGAGACCCCTCAGATGACAAGGTCACCCTCACTGCAGGCAATGGCCAATTGCCAATGATTGCTGGCTAATGAGACAGAAAACAAGATTATGCTTCTATGACAACACAAATGGCACCACCTCCAGGAAGCTTTCCCTGCCTCCTTCCCTGAATCCACCCCCAGGTTGCATTTCTCCCCTAAGGAGCCATGGCCCTGGTGCTTTCCCTGTCCCTCTTAGAGCAAATGTTACCCTTGATGATGAGGCAGCTGGTACTGTGAGAATTCATCACATAGACTTTTGTTCACATCCTGGTTCTGCCTCTCAATTCCTGAGCCTCAGTTTCCTCAGCTGTAAAATGGAGACAGTAACTTCAGCAGCACAGAGCATAGCCCCAGTCCTAGGACTTTCTTTGGAAACAATCTGACAACCCAATCCTCAAGCTCCTATGATACGATTGGGCCCAAAGAACCATCTGGCAGCCCAGAGCCACAAAAGAACAGTCACTAGGTCCAGCCCAGGGGTGGCAGCCTCCACCTCCACCTCCCCACCCAGATCTCCAGCCAACCGCAGCCAGGGAACAGACAGCCAGCAGTGCCTAATGATACCCCTCCCATCTTCTGGACAGAGTAATTGCCAGGTGGGATGACAAGACCCCAATTATTGAGGGTCTGTCCAGAAGTGTGGTCAGAGGCATGTCCAAAACTGAACTCAGCCTCCCCTCAAATGTGTTACTTTTCCCACTCCTTGTCTCACCCAGAGGGTAGCACCACCCAGGGACCCAAGTTGAAAATCACAATACAGTCCTTATATCTCCTTCTCACTTATGTGTCCCATTCAATCCATCACCAAGTCCTGTCATTTCTATCTGTCTAATCCACCCATTTCTTTCCAACCCAAGGCTGCTGCTGCTGATGCAGTTCACGCCACTTATCCTCCCTGTTGCCGGTCTCCTTGCCTCCACACACCCCGCAGGGAGCCTATCTTCTGCTGCATCTGCTGAAAACCCCTCAACAGCTCTCAGTAGGAAAACCAGCCTGTCACTTAAGCACCCTCATCTTGCCCCAGTCTGGCCCCAGCTTCCCTTTCTAACCTTACCTGTCTCTACTCTCTGCCTCACACCTTGTAGTTTCCCCCCAATTCACTGTCCTGTTTCTCACCTGTTTTTTTATTATGTTGTTCCCTTCTCTCAGTAACATCCTTCTCTTCCTCTTTCCCCACGGACTACCTCCTACCCCTATTTTAAGACTTAGCTCAGATTTCTGCTCTTCCAGAGACTTTTTGTTCCCCATTTCTGACACACACCAAACTAGTCTAAGTGCTCTTCTCATTGCTGCCACTTACTGAGCACTGTTCCAAGTACCTTTGATGTCTTAACCCATTTAATCCTCACAGCAAACCCTGTGCCTAGGTTCTCTTATTCTTGTTTTACAGATAAGAAACCTGAGCCTTGTAGACATTAAAGGCCAAATTTAGCAGTGCTGAAACCCAGGTCTATGTATTTTTCTTAAAAGATTTTATTTATTTCTAGATAGAGGGGAAGGGATAGAGGGAGAGAAGCGTCCATTGGCTGCCTCTCACATGCCTCCAACTGGGGACCTGGCCCATAACCCAGGCATGTGCCCTGACGGCAAGTCAAACTGGTGACCTCTCAGTTCACAGGCCAGTGCTCAATCCACTGAGCCACAGCAGCCAGGGCTTGTTTTTTGTTTTAAATAAAAAGAGTTGTGCCCTGGCCAGGTAGCCCAGTTGGTTGGAGCATTGTCCCAATACACCAAGGTTGTGGTTCAATCTCCTGTCAGGACACATACAGGAATCAACCAATAATGCATAAGTAAGTGGAACAACAAATTGATACTTCTTTCTCTGTTCACCGCCTGCCAATATCTAAAAATCCAGAAAAAATATGTATGAGTTGTATTGTCCTTTCCTGACTATAAAATACCAAGAAAAAAAAGCAAACATCTTTCATTTTTGTCAATTTGGTGAATATCCTTGGTCTGGCATGCAGTAAGCACTCAATAAATACCATCTCTCCATGCTTACACATACATGCTGACTTAATCAGCGTTTATATATAAACTGTCACACCATTCCTGCTGTTGTTTCCTGAAGCTGGAGCCCTTGGAAGTGCATGGAGCAGCCCCACTCCTCCATGTCCTATACCCCTCCAGGCTCTCAGGCCTCTGGGATGTAACTCTACTTTAGAATCCCTACAATGAGGACAGGGATCAGTCGAATTCCTTGAAGTGCCCAAACAAGGTCTGCACAGAGAGACCAGGCAAGGCACCCAACCGAGCTCAGCCTTGAGGAGGCCCTCCCTGGGCGTTGGCATTCCCCTTGTCCTCCACCCCACGCTCTCCAGCCACAAACCTTCAGATCTCTACCAAAATCTGAGGCCTGGTCCTCGTGACCAGGGTCCTGCTCGCCCAAGGTGCCCCACACTCCCCACACTCCTAGCCTGACTCTTGGTGGCTCCAACTCTTCCACTTGGGAGGGTCTTTCAGACCTCGGCTTCCCGCTCCCCACCTGGGGCGGTGGTTAATTACAGCCCAGCCCCTGCCTAGTCCCCGGACTCCCAACTGCACCCTCCCCTCAACGCCCCCAGGCTCAGAGCCACAGGATCTGCCAGCAGGGAAAGCATCCCCCTACTCCCCGTTCTAGACCCTGGCGCCCTTGGGCCAGGGCCGGAAAAGGCACTTCCAGCCAGGCGCTGGCGCCGGGGGCGTCGCGCTTTACGGAAAGAACGCCCGGGAATAAATCCGGAGCTGATTTGCATCCAAAACTCAGGGCGAATTCATCCTGTCCCCGCCCAGTGGCGAGTTTAGGGGCAAAGGAAGAGTGAGAAGGAAGCTGCAGGAGGGAATAATCTCCTCCCCTTGGCTGGCCCCACCTTGGGCCCCGCCTGGGTCTTGTAGAGGGAGGTGGGGCAGCGGCTTTGTGTGCTTTTGTGTGTAGTGGATTAAGCGAAACAGCCCTGACCGGGTGCTAAGAGTCAAGCAGCTCCACCTCTACTGCTAGGAGTCTCCCAACCACAGACTCCTCAGATGCCCCTACCAGCTTGGGCCCTGGTATCCCTGTGGCCTGCAACTTGATGACTATTATGTGCTTACAGAGCACAGACAGTTCTGACTTTGGTTTACACTATTACCCATCAGACATCCACGCCAGCCTGGCGGGGCAATTCATTGATTCCACATCAGTGCCCCCTCTTGCTCATGCTGTTTGTCAGCCAGCAGTCTTTTACTCCTTTGCATCAGCTAAAGTGTTGACCCTTGTTTAAGCACAGCTTAAAAAACACCTGTTTATCTTTCGTGAAGCCTATAGAGGTCTGTGTACTGGCCTCTTGAAGCTCCCAGTGTACAAAGTCTGAACCTGTCTTTTAGCCCTGACACTTCTCTTGGTGTATCTACCAAGCCAATTTCTCTGTTAGGTTGCAAACTCTCAAGAGCCAGAACGAGGACAGATTCAAATCTACCCTCAGTGCCAAGAGAAGTACCTGGTACTTGATGGGAGCAGCAGTGGCTGCTGTATGCCCTTTGGCAAGTCCTGTTCCCTTTCTGGACTTCAAATTCCTCCCTCACCCTTAATGCAAAGAATCTATATAAAATGACCCCCAAGATTGCCCTTAGACCTGACCTTCTGAGCCAATGACTTCCTGGCTCCCGGCTCCCGTAATGACCCAACCTTGGGCAGGGCAGGGATCAGGGGTAAATCTGAAATCCTTCCACCTCCTTTGAGTCAGTGAGCTGAGGCAATTGTGCAAGGTTGCTGAGGCTTGGGGATCCAAAAGGTGCTGGGAACCTCAAGGCAGTGAGTCTAGTGTCAACACACCAGGATGCAATCACAGCTGAAAAGTCCCTTGCCCCAGGCTCCAGAGACCTGACCACCAGCTCCAACTGAGGGGCACAGGGTTTTGTCAATCCTAGAAAGTGAGGAAGCCCCCATTCACAGCCCCTCCCCAGCTTCTACACACTGTCTCCAGGAGCAGTGGCAGCAGCTTCTCAAACCACTGAAGACCAGCCTAGAACCACCCCACACGCTCCACTCCAACCTCCTCACTCCCAGCCCAGCCCAGCCCAGCTATGGCCAATGTGAGCTGAGAATACCAATAAAAGAATCCCCCATTCAGTGGGTTTTTGGTTTGTTTTGGGTTTTGTTTTGTTTTTGTTTTTTTTTTTTAACAGCACAAGCTGCCAGCCCTTATTGCACATTTCCCAAAACGGAATTCATCTCCTCTTAAGGTGGCACATGGGCCACTTCTCCCTGAAACTCCCGTCCTTGGAATAATGCTAATCTGAAACCACAGCCTTCAGATTAAGACAGACCTGTTTAAGATTGCAGTTCCATTACTCCCTAGCTGAATGAATGCTAAAATGAATGATCTTAAGCAAGATCTTCCTGATCCTCAGTTCCTTCATCTCTAAAATGGGAGCAATGATTTGTATATACAGAGTGGTTATTGGGCATTATGTAAGATTTATGAAAACACCTGTCATAAGCATTCACACATACAGGGTGGGGAAAAGTAGGTTTACAATTGTATGTGAAACAATTAATAAAGCTATTGCAATAATCACAACCTGCATGTCTTTTTTCCATTCGAATGGCTATAAACCTACTTTTGCCCCACCTTGTAAAGGATGTCAAATAGGAGCATTAGTTCCAGTCCCTAGTCTTTGTATTTTCCCCTGAAGTTGTCTGATACTTTCTCTGGAAGCTAAGAATGGAGATACCTGAAGTTAGAACTAATATGGACAATACGAGGACTATAAAGTAATAAAAGCTGCACCTAGGACACAATTATAGATTTTAAAAGGGAACGAAGGAGGTTTGAGGCTTAGGAAGGGATAGCATTTGCCAAAGGTCATACAGAAGATGTGCACATGTAGAAGAGCAGGCGAGCAGAAAGACAGCGGCAAATGAGGGAGTGGAAAGAGGTCGGGCCGAGGTGCTGAGCTGGATCCAAGGACAAGCAGCCAAGCAAAAGGATCTCCAACTGACACTGCCCCACTTCCCATGCCCAGCAGGGCTTGGCATTTGCCTTTCTCTGGAGCTTCTCCTTTTGGGTTCCTGAGTTTGCAGTAGCTTCCCAGAAATGCTAGGTAAATATCCTTGTTGTTTCATGAGCAACCAATCTGGTAATCAGATAAGTCTCTCCATACGAAGTGCTATCTCAAAGTTGGCCCCTTTTGTAAAGATGCTCCACTTCAGGCACCACCCCAGACAGATGTTCTCCACAAGGTTCCCTCCGAGGGCCTTGCTGAGGACTCTGAACCCCACTCCACAGGGTGGGTTTGGTATATGCCACACTGCTCAAGTCTCAGCCTCCTCTTTAGAAAGTGTCTGCTCCTCCCAGAAGCACCAAGAAAAGTGTGGTATGTGAACTCTGTTTTGTAACTTTTTCTTCCCAGCAAAAGTTAGACATGAGTTGCCATTTTAAGGTAATAAGGAGTTTTACTAACCTTTGAAAATATCTTGGGCTGGTGTTAACCCCAGTCATGGGAAAGCTGGAGGCACTGGGGCCAGTGTATTAGGCTACTTGATTTTTTCTTTTGGTTATGTTTTCTTTGTTTATATTGTTCTCTTCTCTATATCCCCAGCTGCCACCTCACTCCCCTCATCCTCAGGAGCCGGCACTGTCCTCATGGAAGAGGTCTGTCTTCTTTCTGGTTAATTACAGATTTGTTACCTCACCCTAAGCTCATGTGTCTTGGGCTCTCTGCTCCCTCCTTAGTGCTCATGTATGAACTCCTTCGCCCATCTCCAGCTGGGCATCCTCTGATTTAGACATCACCTAAAGGTAGAGGTTTCCCTAATTGACTTCTCAAAACATCGAGTTCAAGGAAACTCTAAACTTGTGATTTAGGACTCAGTGATGCAAGAATTCTGCATGTCTAAGATTCTATAACTCTGGTTTCACAGTGCTAGAATTCTGATTCTAAAATCCCATGACTATGGAGTCTATGCATCAAGAATTTTATGATTTTTGTGTTTCATGAAATTGCCACTGACCTAGTGACAGTAACCAGCACCCACTTGGCTTGGGTTTTTGTGATTGCTTTCCAGAGGAAGCAAGTCTTGCTCTGGGCTGTCTTCTCTGAAACCACTGAGGAGAGAGGAAGGAGATGGCTGGATAGGTGAAGGGCAGCACTCCCACCTCCCCTGGAGCTCCATGGGTGGGATATGCCCAGGGCAGTCCAGGCCTAGGCCCCAGCACTCAGTCCCTCCACCTCCCCGTCAAGCCCCTCATTAAAACTCCAGTGTCTGAGGGTAGCAGGAAAAGCAAGCTCCTTTGCGGCCCTTCCACCCAGCTGCCTTTCCTTCCTGGCCTGCCCCATGCTCCAGAGAAAGTTTACTGAGAGCCTGGCCTGACCAAAATGGGCAGAGGGGGAGGTAGGATTAAGCACTGGGCAGGGAGCCAGTGGAGGAGATATGGGAGATTCCCTGGGGAGCTATGCAGCTTTCCCTGAAGGAGAGGAAAGAACAGAGGCCGGAAGTGGGGGTGTGGGTGAGGGCACTGGTAAGGGTGGGGTGACCGGTATTGCATTGTGGGGCTGGAGCTGAGCTTCCGGCCATTGACCGATTGGTGACAAGGGAACTCCAGTCTGGCGCCCTGGGGGCGGTCTGGTTGAGCTTCTACCCTTTGATTCAGGTTCCTGTGCCTGAGTCAAACTCCCAGGAAAACCCAGAAGGCAGGAATCAGGGGTGGGGAAACGAATCCTCCAGGGCTCCTTCCTGGGAGGGTCCAGTGGGGCAAGGCTTTCCAAGGACCACATCTGAGGTTTGGGGCAGAAAAAGGGCTGGAGCTCTGGGCTTCTGCCTCCAGTCCACAGCTGTTCCCCCCACATTCCAAAGCGTCCCATTTATTACATAACGTTCCTCCAATGGTTTGGTCAGACTCTGGGCTAGAGGATGGGCCCGCCTCCCAGCCACCTCCCTAGAGCTGTCTGGACCACCCACTCCAGCCCTGAGGGCTTGGCTGAAGCAGCCAAACCCGATTTTCCCGTGGCTGCCTAGACCGGCTGGAGCAGGAAACCCTCCTCCAGGCATGGGTCCCTCAGGCCACCGTCCTCCTCCCCCTCATCTTCTACTCCCACCCCGGCCCCTCCCACACCTGTGCCACCAACCACTTCCTCCTCCACACCCCCTGGGCAGCTCCACTGCACCGACGGGTATGGTCCAGTGCTGTCCTTCTCTGGGCCTGTTTTCTTTTCTTTTTTTTTAATCCTGACTGTTCTTTTACTGTGATGGAATACACATGTCATAAAATACACAATTTTAACCATTTGTACATCCAGTGACATTAAGTATAGTCATATTGCTGTGCATCCACAACCACCGCCCATCTCCAGACCGAAACTCCGTTCCCCTTCCATGGTAACCCACCTTCCCCGCTCACCCCACCACTTTACCCCACCCTGCAACCCCCGTTTTACTTTATGTCTCTATGAATTTGACTACTCTAGTTGTCCTCGCTTTTCTCATGTATAGATTGGCTGTGAGGAGGTTCCAAAGAAAGGGGGGCATGAGCAGCAGTGGGCCACCCCTTGGATGGTGGTTGGTGCAGTGTCGGTGCACAGCCTGGGGAGGACCTGCTTTGTGGAATTCTGGGTGTGGCTGTCAGGGTGAAAGGTGCAAGGGAAGGGAGTATGCCCCTCTAGTTTCAGGTGATCTCTCTGGGAGACTGAAGAGAAAGAGAGCATCATCCCGGACTAAGTCCCCTTGCTACCTGTGTTCAGAGCCCTCGCCACAATTTAGTGCAGTGCCTTGTGTGATCCGTTTAATGTGTCTCCCATAGAGCTGCAACTCCCACCAGAAGAACTCCCACTGACTTGCTCACTGTTTTATCTCCAGAACTTGGCACCCTCCCTGGCACACAGCAGGCACTACTGACTGAGACAGAGTTTCAGATTGAAAAGCAGAAGCAGAAGCACTCCAGGGGCTGGAGACCAGCCAGGCCAGCTCACCTAACCCAGGCCCCTGCTCCAAGCTGCCACACAGCCCAAGTCTTCTCGTCTGGCCTGGGAGCCCAGTTTTCTCAGCCTCCGGGGAGCTCTGGCAGGGTGGGAGACAGTGAGCTGTATCCAGTCATCCACGGGGTCACCTAGACTGGGGTGGTGGGTGCCCTCTGGCTGCCGCTGCCTCTGGGAGCCTGAAGGGGGAGGAGAGGTGGGAGCCTGGAGGGGGAAGGGCAGTGGAGGAGCAGCATTGCAGAGGCAGTTAAAAATAGCCAGAAGAGATGATGTCATCGGGTTCCCACAGCTCAGCACCCCCTCACTCACACACATACACACTTATTCTCACAGACTCAAGTGTGGGCATGCACACACACACACATACACTTATATAGGGGGAGGTTCCTGGGTCCTGGGGCCGCAGGGGCAGGGAAGTCTGGTGAGTGTGTCTGCATGTAGGTGTGTATGTCTGTGTGCCTGGGTTTGCATGAATTTGATTGCATGTGTCTACATGCTGTATGCTTGTGTCTGATGTATGTATGTTTGTGTCTGTGTATGTTCGTTTGTAGGCACGTGTATGTTACATGTGTCACGTGGGGAGGTCTGTGTGTATCAGTGTCTGTGCACGTCTGTTTATAGGCATGTCTTTGCATGTACATGTATTTGTTGCATTGTGCATCTGTGAGTTCACTTATATTTTTACATGTCTGCAAGTGTTCACGGATTATATCATGTGTTTACATGTGTGGGCCCCCCTGTGGGCCTTGGCACTAACCCAGTCACCTTCTAGTTCTAACTGAGGTTCAGCACCTCCCCCTCCCAACACCCTGAGAGACTTCAGCCCCCACCCAGCATTGTCAATGAATTCTCTCTGTCCCTTCCCTTCTCCACATCCCATTCTCTGGCAAGCCTTGGAGTACACAGACACAGACACAATTCATTTTCTCCCCACAGGCTTCCTGAACCCCAGGGGCCAGGCCAAAGGTGTCAACCCTCAGGGAAGGGAGCCCTGGAAATGGAGCCAGATCTTCGGAGAGCGAGACACACACACTAACCCATGCATAAAGTGACACATTAGAAACAGGGTCCCTCACAATGTTTCCTGTCACTGAGACACAATGCCATGGAGACACACCTCACAGAAACCCAGTTACAGCCAATGACACGTGGGTGTACACGCAGAAAACCAAGTGGAAAATCACCAGACCAGAATGCTTAGCACCCTCCCCCTTTCTGAACTCAAACTCAGTCTTGCCCCACCTCCAAAAGTCTACCTCATCTGTTTTCCTGTCCTGGAAAATACTGACCTCAGAAAGAAACTTGGGGGCTAAAGGTGGTACACCCTCCTCAGAAGCAACCCCCTCCTCCTTCAGGCTAACCCCCACTCCCCTCCTGATCTTTATTCCTCTTAGCAGAGCTGATGCCTCTCTCTGGTACATCCACCTCCTCACAAACACACCTTAACATTCACAGCTGACCACAGGGGCACATTCACTTGCAAAGGCACACCAGCCACCTGTTCGCTTATACTCCCACTGTTCTGGTCTCACACACACACACTCACACACATCAGCAGCTATACCTACACACAGACCATCCCAGGCACACAGAGCCGCATACACCACGCTTGAGAACTCATGAGGTTACACTCAAGCGGTGAAATCTCTTTCATTCTATCTTTTCTGATCTGTGCCTCTATCTCCCCTCCCAAGGACCTGGCTCTCTGTATGTTCCAAATGTCTGCGGAGACCCTCATCCCTGTGCAGATGGGAGTGCAAGGCAGGAAGGCCCTTACCTCATAGGGCGTGTCAAAAGGTGAAGCCCAAGATGGGGAGATGGTGTGTGTTGCTGACCTTGTCCTGTCCTTCCACTCTCTAACTGTGATCCCTGAAGCCTGTCGCTGCCCTCATACCCTTCAGAGTCAGCTGGAAACACCTCAGAGTGGAATAGGCAGTTGGAGCAGAAATGATTGTATTTGGCTGCTATTCATCACCCATGGCCCCTAGAAGATGCAGATCCGGAGCCAGTTAAGCTTCTGGACTAGTTTCTGGGCATTTCTAGAGGATCAGAAAGCTGCCAGGTTGACAGAGGCGTCTGAGAACTGAGGAGAGGAAAGAGAGGGAAGAGTGTGAGGAAGGCAGCAGTTTTGGAAGCTCCACTGCTCTTAGATTCACCACTTCCCCAAGCCCTCCATTTCCAGCCAGTTCATCCTCCGTTAGGGTGCTCAGTCTTCAGGATGCCTGCCATCAAGTCTTCTCTGTGCCTTTGGGGTGACATTTCACAGAGCGTGTGTCCTCTTGAGTGCCTATGCAGGGCTAAGGTGGGGAAAACTTCAGTGGCCCTATTTTTCCAACCCCAGTCCTGGCTCAGGGCCCTTGGCTAACCTTGCAGTGGAAGGATCCACACACTGGTGGAGACAGGGTGGGTGTCGTTGATATCCCTGGCCATGGTAGCAAGATTGGTGGCTGCAGTGGTGGCAGCTGGGCCTTGGAGTTTCTGCCGGTACCTTCTGTGGCTGCACTTGAACATCTTGGGAAACCTGGGCCGAGGCCAGCCCACACCTGGCCTGCGGTTGGGGGAACGCAAACCCCGGGGCCGAGGGGCACGGGCAAGCTGAAAAGGCCCCATGGGCACAGAGAACTGTACCATGCCCAAGGACGCTGCTGGCCAGGGCAGTTGAGGTCTCTATGACATATAGTCTGTATGTGGGTGGGGCTCTTTATTACAAGTCCTGGTCCCCAGCCCCTCCCCACAGGTCAAGATCTCTCACAGTTCTCTCCATGGGTCAGTCCAACCAGAAAACCTCATCTCGGCCCCTTCGGAGAATGGAACTCTTAGTGGGGGAAAATCACTCCTTTACCTTCTCACTCATCCACACTAACAATATGAGCAATTTTTATTGAACACTTATTATGTGCCCAGTACGGTACCAAGTACTTTAAAACATTATCTCCTTCAATCCCACAACAACCCTACAAGGAGATTCTATAATTATTCCTAGTTCACATACAGCCAACCCTTGTTATTGATGGTAGTTATGTTCCAATGAAGTCACCACTATGAACACTGAATCAGCAAATACCACGTCAGTGCTCCTAGGAGAAATACAGGGTTAGATTCCTACCAGGTCATAACATTTTTGTCAATTGATTGATCAGTATATCCTCTGGTTTTACGTGTTTTTCTGTTTAAAGACACCTAATTTAAACATGATTGTTGATTCAGTAACATTGAACTCATAGCCAGTAGCACGATGACTTATACCTGAATGAAGCTCATTAGACACATGTATTTCCTCTGCAAATCACATCACAACCTTCCTGTGCTTAGCAACACTAGACAGCACTTTTGCATGACTTAGAAGCCATTTTAAACAACAAAATCACCAACAAAAAGCCCCATAATATGAAAAACATGACAACAGGCCACAAAAAGAACACTTGTTTCCATTATAAGAGCTGAAGTGAGAAGGCAGGGTATTCTCTTGTTCAACCTCCGCTGAGAACATGCGCGCTGGCCGACTCAATTTTTTTGCAGCTCAGCACGTGTCCATGGATAACTGCAAAAGTGTCACGAATATTGGTTTGGGGTTACGAATAAATTTTAGTGAGTAGGTAAATTCACAAATATGTAATCCATGAATGATGAGGGTTGGTGTTAAAAAAAAATTGAGGTTCAGGTGAAGTCACATGATCAGAGTCAGGCAGAGGTTCAAATCCATCATGGCCAAGGTCCAAAGCCCAGGCATTTAACTCTTGTTATTCTTCACTTGTGCATTCATTCATTTATTCATTCATTCAATCAATCATTCAGGAAATGTTCACTAACAGCTTCATTTGTGCTGGACACTGGGAACATAGATGAATGTGACCTGGTTCCAATTCTTCCTGAGATGAAAGGAGAAGCCATGTGGACAATCAGTGCAGGTGAAGAAACAGCTAGGTCCCCAGGGGATGTAAAACATTTCAACCCTGGGTTTCTCCCCTTTCTTATGAGAGACAGGGACATCAATGGCTCTGCCAGGCCTTGCACTGAGTTCTTATGGAACTTTGGACTTGCCCCTCCTCCCTCTACACCTCAGTCCTCTCTCTTTCCTCTTATTCCACCTGTAGGCCCCCTTCCGTCTTTCCTTCATTTCTGCAGGAGCCAGCTGGGAGACTGAGGAGCCCTCCACACCACACTCAAAGGCCCCGTACCTCCCGCCTTCCCAGCTTCCACGTTTGCCATCTTTAGTCTTACAAACTGACCTTGCCTCCATGAACATCTAGACACTATACCTATAAACCCACCTGCTCTTGGCCATGTTCTTCCTCAAGTCCCAGACCAAGGCCTCTTTCCCTGCCTTTTCTGGAAACTAACCCCTCCTGTCTTTTTAGAAATTCCATCAATGTAGACAGTCTGCTTGGTACTTAAGAGGTAGACTCTAGGCCCTGGCTGGTGTAGCTCAGTGGATTCAGTGCTGGCCTGCAAACTAAAGGGTCATGGGTTCAATTCCCGGTTTTGTGCACATGTCTGGGTTGTGGGCCAGGTCCCCAGTAGGGGTATGTGAAAAGCAACCACACATTGAAGTTTCTTTCCTTCTCTTTCTCCTTCCCTTCCCCTCTCTAAAATAAACAAATTTTTTAAAAAAGAAAGAAAGATGTAGACTCTGGCACAGACTGCCTGGGCTGAATCCTGGCTCTGCCATTTATAGGCCATGAGACCACAGCAAGAACTTAACCTTTCTGTGCCTCTGTTTCCCTATATTATCTATCTCATAGGATTGTTATGAAAGGGAGAAAAGAATATATATACATATATATCTAATCTGTATGAATACTATATTGTCATTTATAATATAATCTGTATGAATATTGTATTGTCAGTTTCATCTGTCCTGTCTCTTTAGCTGCCTCCTCCCATTATGAAAACAAAATAAATTTTAAAATCCACTTTATCCATTTCATACCCCCTCTGGCTGTGACTCTCCCCACTCTGGCCT